TACCCACACCCACACCCACACTCATACCCACACCCACACCCACACCCGCACCCATACCCACACCCACACCCACATTCATACCCACACCCACACCCTAATTTTGATAATATCTAGAGACTTCTATCGTAAGAAAAAGAATGAAATGTACAATAAAAAATCCGAATGTTATTTTCTCATATACCGGGTATGGCAAAAGTTTTGCGACATTTTTTCCTTTACAAATATTCGAGCAGATAAATAATACATGATCCTAACTTTCTTGTCGGAAGATTTGGATTTAATTCTCTACAAATTCATGTTAGCTTTGATTTAGAGCGATGGAACAAAAAAAATTTATAGGTTGCGTCATGTTATACACTAAATAACGTCTATGTCCCGCACAATTTTTAGTAATGTATTATTTTCCTGTTAAGAAGTATTTAGTTTCCAAAACGTCAACCGCTGCTAGACAACAATCGAGAGGCTTTATCGATTACGTGTAATGGGATGTTTTCTAAAACGCATTCTTTTGATTAGACAGCATGCCATATTTTGAAAAAGGTGACTCTTTCCCAGGTCCAAAAATCCGACGACGGATCCGATCGGACGCGAAAACCGACAAAAAATCCGATCGGAATTCGGGTTGCAGAATTCCGATCGGATCTTACAATCGGATACTCATACGTTTCCGATAATTTCCGATTGTTGAAATCCCCATTTATTCCGACTGTCGGTTTCCGATCGGATTTCTATAGGATTCTATCAATCTTTGAATCTGTGATCGATCTTATGTATTCTGATAATGTTTGGAATCTAAATTTTATCGTAAGTGCGCCGGAAGAGTGGTATGAAATGAGCCAAAGTTGGCGTGAGCCAAAGTGGACTCCATTAGTCCATACTATACCCACTGTAAATATATAGTACTCTAGCACCGAAAGTATCTTTCCCACAACAGAACAATACTACTCACAACTCAGAAGTGCTATACCCAAAACAGAACAAAAGTATTCGCTACCCGGGAGTATCATTGTTCTGTTTTGGGAATAGAATTTACGGGTACTGAGTACCTTTGTTCCGTTATGGGAATCACACTTCCGGGCAGATGAGTACGTTTGTTCCGTGTTGGGAATGACACTTCCGGGTTGTGAGTATTATTGTTCTGTTTTGGAAAAACGGTTGGATGACGGTAAAGTAACGGCTCGCATTTGATTGATCCATTTTCCCTATATGAAGTGAACCACAATTTTCTGATAAGCATGTTTGGCTCCCTGCACACGACCGCCGAAACATCACTGGGTGTTGTCCTTATAATAAGCAAAAAAAGTCCTTCTGAAATCTGATTGGTCCATTTATTGACCAATCAGATTGAGAGATTC